CTGCTCCAGGGCCTGGCCGCCGGAGCTGGAGCGCTGGCACAGTCACCGCACCGCTCACGGCTTCCACGGCTTCTTTCCCAGCTGCGGAGGGGACATCCGAGACAGCCAGCAAAGGCATCTGTACCAAGGCAGAGCCTGGTGAGCCCCGCCTCTGCCCTGCCTTTCCTGGACTACCCAGTCTTGCCCTGAAGCATCCTGGCTCCCAAATAGCTGGAAACGGTCTCCTTCTCCACGCCATTTCAGTGCTAGTCTCTAGCCCTAACTCCATCTGTCTGCTGAACCCTGGGCCAGCCCTGTACCTGCAGAATCATAGGACACCTCAGCCGGTCCCATCTTGATCCCAAGTACTTCCCTCCAACTGGTCACCCTCCACTCACTGCCCCAGACTTCCCGTCCATTCTATCTCAAACCAAATCTACTCCAGCCTTTGACATGTCCCCTTCTGGCCAATCCACCCCATTCCTGGACCATCCACCAAACCTTCCCTAAGCATGCTAATTTACTCCCTACCCTTCTCCCCACCTGAAGCCTGCAGCAATAGTCAAACTTTGGGGTATTTCATCTCTGAGCCCTGCTCTGCTTCCCGGTCCCGCTAGAGGAAGAAGGCATCCCTAAATATTCCCTCAGGTAAGGGCCAGACAAAGCATGCAGATACCAGGAGTCTTCTTTGTTTTTATAGCTGCAGGCTCCGAAGAGCCCTCCCGTTTTCTGAGAGGGGCCCCCCACCGCCACTCTATGCCTGAGCTGGGCCTCCGCAGTGCTCCTGAGCCACCCACAGAAACTCCGGGACATCCTGCCCTGCACCCAGACGATAATGCCTTTGGTCGCCAGAGTACCCCGCGTGTCAGCTTTCGCGACCCTTTGGTGTCTGAGGGAGGTCCACGACGAACCCTGAGTGCACCTCCAGCCCAACGTCGCAGGCCACGAAGTCCCCCACCCAGGGCCCCCAGCTGCCGCCACGGACGACGCAGGCGCCGCCGCCGCCGGGGGAGCCACCATCACCACCACCGTCCTGGCAGACATGGCCACTATCACTGTAACGCAGGATCCGGTTCAGATTCAGGATCCTGTTCCAGCTCACCCTCTAGCCCTAGTTCAGAGTCCTCTGAGGATGATGGCTTCTTCCTAGGGGAACGCATCCCGCTGCCCCCTCACCTGTGCAGGTCCAGGACCTCTCAGGACACTGCAACTGAAACCTTGAGCTCCCCAGCCCCGCCTCTTGTCCAGGTGTCTCATCCAGGGATGCCTCGCCAGTCTCGAGACAAGAACTGCATCGTGGCTTGAGGGCAGGCAGCTTTAGCAGGAACTCTTCTATCCAGTCAGGGTAATGGATGATTTCCCCTAAACTAAGTCATGGTCCCTGTTGTTCCACCTTCTGTTTGTATTAGTGAAACGACGCAATTATTGTTAAAAAAAAAAAACAGGCCTGGCTTCTTTGTTCCAGTGGCTTTACCTCAGTTTCCCTCCTCCTGGTGCTAACATACATTTGATCAAAAACTGAACTTTTCCATTATAGATCTCAACAATCTGTTTATTATTTTAGCCCTTCACAGTTCACCCCACACAGAGAAAAGGTTATTTGTAGTGGGTCACTCATTTTGTAGCTTACGTGGGGGAATGGTTCAAGCAGAACTCATGTCAGCGGCTGGTACTGCAGAGCAAAGGGGGACCTAGGCACACCCATGAAGGTGACCACACCCAGGAGGGTTGATTGGCAGGCTGGAAGACAAAACTCTCCCAACAAAGGCACTTTTACAGGAGGCGTAGCTGGGCGGACACTGCTTGCCTAGTATGCAGACGGTTCTAGGTTCAATCTCCCGTGCCATACATAAGCACTTTCAGTGGGGTCAGAGAATTGGCTGGGAGTGTTGTGGAAACAGGAAGAGGTATTTTTGTGAAACAAGGTCTCACTGTGTAGCCCTGGCTGACCTCACAGAGATCCACATGTCTCTGCCTCCTGAGTGCTTCAATTAAAGGCATGCACCACCACACCCGGCAAGAGGAAGTTTTTGATGGACGAGCTATTTGCAGGTAGCAGAGATAGATGAATGAGGATCACGGGCCGTCTGTGGGATCTACAGGAGGAAGAAAGAAAGCACTGATAGATTCAAGTGCCCTTTTTTCCCAACAGGAATGCTGACACACTTATGATACTTACTGGCACAAAAGGCGTAAGTATCAATCCGGGTCAGATTTGCCATTCATACCCTTGCCTAAGAGGTTCTTTTCCCTTTTTCTTCTTTTTTTTCTCCTTTAAGTTTTTTGAGACAGGGTCTCACTATGTAGCTCTGGCTGTCCTGAAACTCAATATGCAAAACAGGCTGGCCTCAAACTCACAGAGATCTGCCTGCCTCTGCCTCCTGAGTGCTGGGATTAAAGGTTTGTACCACTACACCTGGCCCCTTTTCTTTTTTTCTGCTCTCAGCATGCATGAACTCATGCATGCATGCGCACGCACGGGCGCGCGCGCGCGCGCGCACACACACACACACACACACACACACACACACACACACACACACACAGTCTCTCTCTTTCTCTGTCTCTCCCCCTTCCTTCCCCGCTCTCTCTTACCAGTAGGGGCTGCTGTATGTCTTTGCTGCTTTAAAGGGAAGGTGAAGTAGGCATCACAGCCAAAGAGCAATGTAGCAAATATACCCAGTACCTAGGAAGACAGGAGTGAGGGACTGGATTAGAGGGTGTACCGACTCAGCCTCTATGTCCTTGTATCCACCTCCAGGGACTGGGCCATGTAGGATAGTGACTCCAGCCCTCTGCTAAGAAACCAGGGAACATCAGAGGAAGGCCAGGATTCTGAATACTCCCTACCCCACCACCTCTCCAGTTATCTCTCAGCACCCCCATTGTTTCATATGTAGAAGGCATGCTTCATACTACATTTGAGGCAAAGTTCTAGCAGATAGTAGCCTAACATGTTGACAAAGGTCTCTCTGTCAGACAGGGGACAGCGTTTTACAGCAAATGATCTTGGTAGGTAAAAATCATTGCTGGGGCCAGACTTGGCTGCAAGTCCTGAGAGCAACTTTGGCCTGATGTGGCTCCCACACTCCTGAAGAAGCCCCTAGATCCTCGCACCCTCCTTCCTGTGCTTTGGATCTGCTTCTTGGGCCCTTACCCCAGCAGCGATTTTGAAGCTGCCTTTTCCATCTACAAGGACGACAATGGAGGTGATCAGGTAGAGAATGGCTGCAATGAAGGCTCTGAAAAAGTCCTGCGAGGTGGATGGAGAAAAAACGGTCAGCTCAGCGTCCAGAGTTCTCCAGACCACAGCAACTTCCCAACCCCCTGGCCACCCTCTGCAATGCGGGAGCCCGGTCTCACAGTCCACGGCCAGTTGATGAATGCAATCTTGGAGTGCAGGTCACACATGTAGAAGACAAATAAGACAGCAGCAAGGATCATCTCGATCACCGACAGGGAGGAGTATGCTGATGTCGAAGCGCTGAAGCAGATTAAAACCACCAGGCACAGTATCTGAGGGGGCGACAAGGGACCTCAATCAGCCGTGGCTTCAGAGCAATGGTTGAAATTAGAAAAGAGGGATCTCAAAATCAAATGGCCATCAGAAAAAAAAAACAATGAAATCCACTTGCCAAGACTGGTGATGTAGCTCTGAGGCCGAGCATTTGCCTAACATGTGTGCCGCCCTAGGTTCTGCCCACTCAGCAGGGAGAGTTGGAAGTGGGGGAGGAAAGAAAAAATTCCTTTTCTCAAAGAACTACCAGGAGTGCCAAAATGACACACGATGACTGCTAAACACCTCTGCTCACTCTTCTCCACGCATTGTCTAAGGGTTTTACGTCATCGTCACAACAATATTGCTAGGTACTATTCTATTTTCCACATGAGAACTTTGGGTCAGAGAGAGGTTAAATGACTTGCCCAGGATCACCCAGTAAGAAAGGAGCAGAATTATGTGCTTCAGTTCCCCTTTCCCTGAGGGGAGTGGCTCTGCCAGGTGTTTTGCGAGCGCTGGTGGCGCCAGCGTCCCAGCCTTTAGGGGAGGGACGTGCAGTTCCCCAGGCAACCCCTTTGGGAAGGGGTGAGACTGACACCAGGAAGGCAGGGCTCCGTTAAAGGCGCCGCACCTCTTTTATAAGTGACCCAAAGGCAATGACCACTTTGAGAAGGATGGAAAACCAAAGTTCCCTAGAACCATCCAAAGAGCTAAGGACCTCCCATCCAGTCCCAAACTGGCAAGGAAGAACTGGCGAAGGGTGGAGCACCCTACCCTAGGGGACTAGTTTTACCCCACCCCAATAGGCCCCGCCTTTGGGCGCGTTGCCAGCCCGCCAGCCAGTGCCCTGGCCGGCCACGCCCTGCCACGAGAGGATCCCACTCCCCTCGGGACCCCTTCTCTTCATCCACTATGAGTCTATCCCCCCACGCCGAGCCCTCAACATAAGTTATAGACTCTTCGCCTCACCAGCGCACCAGCAGCTCTCCACTACTTCGCCCATGCCCCACGGAACCCCCTGCACCTCGGCTTCGATCCTCCTCCACGAACTCACCCACCTGCACCCCACTGCCAACCAGCCTGGCCACGTGCCTGCCTCAACCCGAACAGTCCAGTCCCGAGCGGTCCGGCCTGCCCACCCTCCAAGCCTCGGAACACTCACAATCTCAGCACACAGGAAAAGTCCCTTTTTGGTGCGCAAGAAGCTGGTGCAGGCTAACCAGCAGCCAGGGGCCGAGAGGCGCTCAGAGTCCGCCATGGTGTGTGCTGGAGTCGCTGGGACGCAGAAGCTCCGTTTTCTGGCTCACGAGTTCGAGGTCGCTGCACACCCAGCCGTTTGTCCCGCCGTCTGGTCGGCAAGGGGGCCCCCGGGCAAAGGAGGGAATGAATCACCGCGCCTAGCAGAAGCGGGCGGGGCCGGAGGGGGCCGGGCCAGGTGGCTGACGCCCCGGAAGCCCCCTTTGCCCTCCGGCCAAAGACAGTGCCAATCCTGCCCATACCCTCATCTTCGAGGTGTCTGGCAGCTCCAGGTACCAGGTGCAAGAAAATGAGACCTTTAACTTTTCAAAAACTGCAAAAGCGCTACTTCCACTCCGAACCGAGCGAATCTGACTTCCTACATATTTGATCTTAGCCAAAAGGCCAAGAAGCAATAGAGTGCCTCAGTTTCCTTAGCTGAAAAAAATGGCCCTGTTTAAACCCGAAATTCTCGAGGTCAGGTATGTCTCCTGAATTTTTAGTGCTTTGAATTTTAGAAGATTTTCCCTTTGCTTGTATAGCAATAGTTCTCAGCCTGTGGATCTAAAGACCCTTTCACAGGGGTCGCCTAAGACCATCGGAAAATGCGGATATTTACATTATGTTTCATAACCATAGCCTAATGCAGTTAGGAAATAGTAACGAAAATAATTTTATAGTTGGGGATCAGCATAACGTGGGGAACTATATTAAAGGGTCGCAGCATTAGGAAGGTTGAGAACCGCTGATAGATAGTATAGTGCTAACACTCTGGGCAGGACCTGGGGTATTAAAACTTAATTATCTCAAGAAATGGTGTAAATCCTCCCAATAAGTGAGATGAAGGAAGAGGAAAACTTGTTCCTGATTAAGTTAGGTCAGGTTCTGTAGTCAAATGGTGTCAGACTGGTGCGGGGAGAATGCAGCCAGGTTCCAGAGTTTGGGAGGCTTTGCTTATAGGAGACAGTGCTGCAAAGATTTCGAGAGAACAGGACCTGCTGGTCACCTGCTAAAGAGTATGGATTATCAATCATCTGCTTAGAGTCTAGGGAGCCAGTGGTTTACTGTGCTGTCCAATTCCAGGGAAGTCTTCAGCCTGGGTGCTAAACCTCAGCTTTCTGCTTCTGAGAAGAGAGGCCAAGCCAGCTTTAGATGAAGAATGGAGAGAGCAAACATTTTTTTGCTGAGAGCTGTGCAAGGTAAGGGGATGGTTCTTGGAGTAACGATTTTGGGTAAGAGAGTTGACATTTTGCACTGTGTACACGAGCAATTAATTTCTCCTGGCCATCTTCGTGTCTAACTCTGACATATGTGCCTGGTTACCCGAAATCAGGACATCCCTCCCCACACTCCGCAGTGTGTTCTTGACATTGGTTTTATACTCGTCTCAAGTATAAAGAAATCAATGGAAAGCCCGAATTCATTCGAAGGGCCTGCCTGCCCACACCCCAAACATAGGGCCCTTCCAAATTAAAGGGTTCCCTTTACAATTGCCATTGTTCAAGAGGTTAACCGAGTAATGGAAAGGTTGAAACATTTTTGTGAGTGTTGAGTGCATGCATTCAAGCCGGGCGAGAAAAAGCTCAGATTACAAGTAATAAATCCCTGAACTTGTAGAACACCACCAATTCAGCTGCCTCTGGCCTTCGTGCTTACTGTTCCCACTACTACAGATGCCCTTCCCCCAGCTTTTCATTATTTGGCTTCTGGTTTTTCAGGTTCCACTTCAAATGCTGTCTTTAATCGAGGCCCACAGCCCACCACCATCTCCCACAATAAAACCCCTCCCTTCCCTTGCCTTTTTCTCTTCTTTGTTGTTTGAAACAGTCTCTCTGTAGAGCCCAAGATGGCTTGGAGCTTGGGCTCCTCATATCTCACTCAGCTGCCCACATGAAGGAATTACACAGGCTCCAGCCATAGCCCCCTTTTTATAATCTTTGTAACTGTCGCTTCTCTTAGAAGTGACCTTTTATGTATTCGTGTCATTCCTGACTGGCATCTGCTTTCACTCTACTAGCCACATAACAACAGACATTTGTCTTCTTCCCCGGTTTCACCATAGAACTCTCTAGAGCAGGTATACAGTTTTGGTTCAGCTGATATTTGTCAAATATGGATGAGATGGAGATAAAAGGCTTCAAAACCAAGCTTCGACTAACCTTGCTTTGAGCTCTTCCCCCCAGTCTATTTGCACTCTCTGGGCCTCATTTTCCCCCTTTGTGAAATGATCTGTCGGAGTTGTTAAGTGTGTAACTAGATGAAAATAAATACCCCCATTAACGCTAATAGCAGGGATAAAGCTAAACTAAGGAAATGGTGGCTGAGGTTACTATGTTAGTCCCCTGGGTGTGACTGTTTGGGAATTGTACACTAGAACCCTTTCCTGACTTCTGGGGAGCCACACTCCCACTATACTCTGAGTCATGAGTAGCTGGAAGTCACTCACACACACCCCACTTCAAATGTTCACTTCTTTATAACCCGGCTGCCAACTGTCCCTGTTTGGTTTTGCAGTCTGCCCCAGCCCCGCCCCGACCCCCAGTGCTACCTGAGACTCTGGTCCTGTCATTTCTCTCCCCTCCCTGCATCCTCCTTATAGGAGCGAAAGTTGCCTGTTTGGACCACAACTTCCCTCTTTGGGGGATGGGACTGAGTGTTCAGGATGTGGTTAACAGCAAAGGTGACTGGACACTTGTAGCATTGGCTGGAGCCTGCTTTGTGGCTACTCGGGCTGTCCATTAAGCCTTTTGACAGTAGGACTCAACTCCCAGGATGGAGGAAACTAGTCTTTTCCTCAAACCAGGACAGCCCAGAGCAGTTCACCACCTTCTAAGGAAAGGGGGAGGCGTGGCGCAAAGATTTCTGAAAGCCCTTTTTAGCCTGGCCCACTCCCGGCTGTGACTCACACCTTCCCTACTCTGCCCCAAAGTGGGATCCAGGGCCCTAGCCCGCGCCCCTAGGGTAGCAGTCGACGTGCCAGTTAAAGCTGGTTTTTCAAGCCGGAAGTAGGAGACCACAGACTCTGGGTGGAGGAAGGCGCCAGGTTTCTAGATTTGCTATCTTGACGTCAGCTGAGGGTCTGAAAGATTCCATGCGGGAGCCCTGAGCCTACTGGGGCACGCCCACAACTGGCCAACTTCTGCATTCCCTACACCACAAGCAATAACGTGCATACTCCAGACGTGAAAGGAATGAGCAGGACGAAGGGCAGGAGTTAGCAAAGCAAAGCAAACTGGGGAGCAAGCAGAAATAAGGACCCATCTGGAGACATGAAGGAAGCAGCATTGCGTGCTTTCAAAGGGCCTTCGTCGAAACCAGATCAAACCACCCCTCCCTTCCAGGGTGGACTGGGAAGCCTCACCCCGCCTAGAGCACCTGGCAAGTCAGGACTGGATCCAGCGATTTTATTACCTCCCGACTGGGAAGGAACTAGGAGAATCTGAGGCGCGCGGGGGTGGAGGGGGTGCGAGCACGCTGGGCTCCGGGAGGGTTGTACCACTGGCATCTTGAAGGGGTGGGGACTAGTCCACTGAGCAGTGAGCAATGGGAGGTACTAGACCAGGTTACAGCTCTAAGGGAAAAGCTAGTGCCTGGCCATCAGGCATGCTAAAACCCGGTGGGACTTCACCAAGTCAGCACAGAGCTGCCTGTTGATGCTCAGTGCCTCCGCCTTCCGGCTGCCATCTCCTGAGCGAGCTGCGCGCCGCGGCCCCCGCCCCGAACCCCTAGAGCCTGTGATAGCCGGTTCTCGCTTGGCACCAGCCAGGGCCCAGGGGTGCCAGGGGCACCAATGATACGGTCGTTCAAGTCTTCTGCGGGGTGCTCCACTATGGGAACCACGTGGCCAACAGCCACTGCCTCTGGACTAGGTTCCACACGGGTCCGGATCTTGGGCGTTTGACGACTCGGGGAAATGGTGCTGCGGGACTTCGTCATCCTGCTTCCCCTAGGATCTGGGCTGCAATCTGGAGAGAGCCATACTGGGGTTAGATTGGGTGCTGTAGTAGAGAATGGCAGTCAGGGCCTTGGCTAAGAATGTCCAGAAAAGCCACAGAGAAAGTTCTCATCAAGGCCTAGAGGTGCCACTCCCTCACAAACCTCAACGTTACCCTCTCCTTCAACCCAGGACGTGCCTCACAAAAATCACTGCCCAAAGGAAGTCAAACCTCTGGCCCTCGAAGCTTTCCTATGTGAATGTCTGAACCTCCCCTCTCACCCCCTGTCCCTTTCGCTTACGGATCAGTGCGTAATTACGCACTGGGGGCTGGGGGAGCTCAGGTATGGAGGTCAGAGGACAACCTGAGTGGATCCAGTCTCTCCTTCCACCATGTGGATCCCAGGGTTCGAACTCATGTCACCAGGCTTGGTGGCAAGCACCTTTATCCGTTGAGCTGTCTTGCCAGCCCGCTCTATTTGTGTCTCACAACTGAACTCCTTACTCTCTGAAAGGGACTATCTGGGAGATGGAATCCACATGGATTCTCAGATGGCCAGACAAACTCCACCGCTGAACCAACCTCATCTCGGTCTCTATATTCTTACCCATTTTCCTAAGACTTTTCCTTCTAAAAAACAGCTTTTATTCCCGACCCTCCTCCTAAGACCTTAAAAAGCATTCTCTCTGATGTTCCTATCCTGAAATGGGCCCCCCTCCCTGCTTCAGATTTTGTGAATTCTTTTTTTCTTGGAATTTTGAGGTAGGGTTTCCTCTGTGTATCTCTGTAGACCAGGTTGACCTCGAACTCACAGAGATCCACCTGCCTCTGCCTCTCAAGTGCTGGGATTAAAGACGTGCGCCAGCCACCACTGCCAGGCTAGATTTTGTGAATTCTATAACCCCTCCCTGGCACTGGACCCGTACAGCCCCCACTGAGACCACCAAACACCTTCTACCTACGATCTAACCTTTCCCCTCTCTGAGCCTCTGCTTCTCCCTTATGACCCCTGCCTCTCTTCTCTGGGAAACTCAGCACCTCACCTCTCTTCTGATGGCCTCCAACCTCCTCCGTCCTATTGGCATCCCTCTCTTGAGGCCTGCTGAGTACCAGGCAGAGTCGGGGGCCTCCAGCGCGAATCCGCTCCACCACCTGGGCATGAGTGAGGCCCCGTGTTGACTCTCCATTGATATGGAGCACAAGGTCACCAGCCTGCAAGAACACAGTGGTGTATGAAGGGCAGATGAAGAACACTTGACAAGGACAGGGACCATATCTATGAATGGACAGCTGCTTATCGCTAACCTGCAAACGGCCACATCGATGTGCTGGGCCGTCCTTCAGCAGTCCATGCACGGCCAGTGGAACATCCCCAGATACACCTCGTCCTCCTTTTAAAGTGAAACCAAAGCCTGCAGGACCTCGGACCAGCTCCACAGAAAATTGACGGGTGGCTTGGGGTAGTTTTAAAGCATAGCTTGCCTTATTCTGGGTTACTGGAGGTGACTCCATACATGTCCCCAGAGTCTCAGACCTTCGATGCTGGAATAAGGGCAAAGGTATACATAAGTTAAGTGGGAGAATGTCTTTAAAAAAAATCTATATATACAATGTTCAGCCTGCATGTATCCATGCAGGTCAGAAGAGGGCACCAGACTTCATTAAGACAGCTGTGAGCCACCATGTGGCTGCTGGGAATTGAACTCAGGCCCTCTGGAAGAACAGGCAGTGTTCTTAACCCCTGAGCCATCTCTCCAGGCCATAAGTGGGAGAATGTCTTAGTTAGGGTTATTATTGCTGTGATGAAACACCATGACCAATGCAACTTGTGAGGAAAAGGTTTATTTGGCTGACACTTCCACATCACAGTTCATCATCAAAAGAAGTCAGGACAGGAAGTCAATTTAGGGCCGGAAGCTAGAGGCTGGAGCTGATGCTGACGCCATGGAGGAGTGCTGCTTACTTCCCCATTGTTTGTTCATCCTGCTTTCTTTTCTTCTTCTTCTTCTATTATTATTATTATTATTATTATTATTATTATTATTATTATTATTATTTTGGTTTGCAAGACAGGGTTTCTCTGTGTGGCCCTGACTGTCCTCAAACTCGCTCTGTAGACCAGGCTGGCCTCAAACTCAGAGATCCACTTGCCTCTGCCTCCCCAGTGCTGGGATTAAAGGTATGCACCACCACCTCCCAGCTGGCCTGCTTTGTTATATAACCCAGCCCAGGAATGGTACCATCCACTATGGGCTGGGCCCTCCAACCTCAGTCACTAAGAAAATGCCTTATAGCCAGATCTTATTAAGGCTTTTTTTCTCAACTGAGGTTCCCTCCTTTGAGATAACTCTAGCTTGTGTCAAGTTGATATAAGACTAGGCAGCACAACCAACCCCTTGTCAGCTTGGCACACAAACACATAACTATTAAACCACAACCTTCCCTTTCTTATTCATCTCTAAGATCTCATATGAAAAACATGAATAACTAAAAATAATAACTTTAAAATTACCACAGTCTTTTTTTTAAAGACTTATTCATTATGTATGTGTTCTGCCTGCATGTACAACTGCATGCAAGAAGAGGGCACCAGATCTGATTACAGATGGTTGTGAGCCATCATGTGGTTGCTGGGAATTGAACTCTGAACCTCTGGAAGAGCAGCCAGTGCTCTTAACCTCTAAACCGTCTCTCCAGCCCCACAGTCTTTACATATTCAAATACATTAAAAATGTCAGTCCCTTTAAATATCCAGACACCTTAAAAAATCCCAACTCTCAGCCAGGCATTGGTGGCACACTTTAATCCCAGCATTCGGGAGGCAGAGGCAGGAGGATCTCTGTGAGTTAGAAGCCAGTCTGGTCTACAGAGCAAGTTCCAAGCCAGACTCCAAAGCAATACAGAGAAATACAAAAAACCAAACCAAACAAAACAAATCCCAAATCCCTTCTTGAAAAACCAAATCTCTTTTAAAAGCCTTTATACGCAGCCTGATCTCATGGAGGCATTTTCTCAATTGAGATTCCTTCCTTTAAGATAACTGTCACTTGTGTCAAGTTGACATAAGACTAGCCAGCTCGGTGTAGGGAGTGAATGCCTGTAATCCTGGCACTGGAAAGTCTGAGACTGGGATTACCATGAATTTGAGAACAGCCTAGTCTACCAATCAAGTTCCAGGCCAGCCTGGGCTACAGTGGATGCCCTGTCGAAAGCCCAACAAAAGCAAAGGGTTAACACAGAATATAGCACTGAATAGTAGTACCTGGGATCGATGGTCCACAAGCGTGGTGTGAGGCAGACGACTGTCTGTGACTTCTATGTCTGCAGAATCCAGAATACTAACAGCTGAGATATCAAAGAGACAAAGAGAGATAATCAAAAGATGTTGCCATGGGGGGACTGGAGAGATGGCTCAGCGTTTAAGAGCACTGACTGCTCTTTCAGAGGACCTGGGTTCAATTCCCAGCACCCACATGGCAGCTCACAACAGTCTGTAATTCCAGTTCCAGAGGACCTGACACCTAGGGAATAGCACCAATGCATACAGAATAAAAAAATTAATATTAAAAGATGCTGACATGGAAACAACCTAGGACCCCTGAGTTAACTTCTTAAAATTTACTTTTACTGGGGGCTGGAAAGATGGTTCAGTGGTTAAGAGCACTGTTTGTTCTTTCAGAGGACCAAGATTCAGTTCCCAGAACCCACATGGTGGCTCACAGCCACCTGTAACTCCAGTTCAAGAGGGTCTAAGAGGGTCTAATGCCTTCTTCTGGCCTCCATGGACCTCAGGCATGCATATGGTACACAGACATACATGCAGGCAAAATACTTACACATAAAATTAAAACATTAAAAATTTTTATTTTATGTGTACAGATGTTTTGCATGTATGTCTGTACACGACTTGTATGCCTGAATCCAGATCCTCTGGAACTGGAATTACATCATAAACCACTGTATGTGTGCTGATTCTTCTGTAAAAACAACCAGTGCATTTTTGTTTTTTTGGTTTTTTTTTGAGACAGGGTTTCTTTGTGTAACAGTCCTGGCTGTCCTGGAACTTGCTTTGTAGACCAGGCTGGCCTCAAACTCACAGAGATCTGCCTGCCTCTATCTCCCAAATGATGGATTTAGAGGCTTGTGCCTGGATTGGACTCCTTAAAAAGTAGCCCCATGCCATCCATTTGAATACTCCATACCTTCCTCCCAGATGTTAATAACACATAGGCTACATGCATTAAGTAACATGCTAAGTGGCTGGGGTTGTTATCTTAGCAGTAACGGAACTTCCTAGCAAGTGCCACATCCTGGCCACAGCACCTAAAGAGTTAAATAAATACAATGTTTAAAAAATAACCTACAGAGCCGGGGCTCATGCCTTTAATCCCAGCACTCAGGAGGCAGAGGCAGGGGGATCTCTGTGAGTTTGAGGCCAACCTGGTCTACAGAGTGAGTTCCAGGATAGCCTCCAAAACAATATAGAGAAACCCTGTCTCGGAGAAAAAACCAAAACAACCTACAGACTGGGTGGTGGCGGCCCATGCATGCCTTTAGTCCCAGCACTTGGGAGACAGAAGCAGGCAGATTTCTGTGAGTTCGAGGCCAGACTGGTCTACAGAGTGTGTTCCAGGACAGCCAGGACTGTTTCACAGAGAAACCCTATCTCAAAAAATCAAGAGAGAGAGAGAGAGAGAGAGAGAGAGAGAGAGAGAGAGAGAGAGAGGGAGAGGGAGAGGGAGAGGGAGAGGGAGAGGGAGAGGGAGAGGGAGAGGGAGAGGGAGAGAGAGAGAGAGAGAGAGAGAGAGAGAAAGAAAGAAAGAAAGAAAGAAAGAAAGAAAGAAAGAAAGAAAGAAAGAAAGTCAGCCTACTTAAGGCCCTTGAGAAAGTTGCATTCCAAGATTAGGTTCCCAAAAATCAGACTACAACCTCTAATTAGCCTATAAAATTCATTTCATTTCTCACATTTCAGGGTCCCACTCACAGCAGAAGGCTATAATTCCAGCATTCTAGAAACTGAGGTGGGAATATTGGCTCAAATTTGAAGTCAGTGTGGCCTCCAGCATGAGACTTGTTCTCATTAAACCAAACAAGGGACTGAAGAGATGGATGGTTCAGCAGTTAAAAATTCCCACTACTCCTGCACACCAGCGTTCATTCCCAGAACGCACATGGTGGCTCACATCTGCCTGTGTATACCTATACACACACACACACACACACACACACACACACACACACACACACACACACTCACACATAATTCAGGCATGGTGGTGCACGCCTTTAATCCCAGCACTCAGGAAGTAGAGACAGGCAGATTTTTGAGCTGTAGGCCAATCTGGTCTACATAGTATTTCTGGAACATAGAGAGGCACTGTCTATAAAATAAAATGAAATAAAAATTAAATCTTTAAATACACATACACAAGAAACCAAGCAAACAAAAATCTCCCTCTAATGTGTCCAGAGCTTCCACAGGTTATCTGACATTTCAGGCTCACCCCTTTGTAGAGAACTCATCTCTCCCTAAGTGCCGTCTCCTTGGAAATGATATTTGGGCAGTTTCCCACATGTATAAAATATATTAAAACCGTTCTTTACTTCCATTATGCACTCTTAACCGACTCCCACTCCTGCTAACTCCCTTCTTCGCAATCACCCCCTCCTATACCCAGATTTGTGTTTGTGTTGCAGGTAGCTACAGGAGCTGAGTGTCCAAGATTTCGAAAGCCAAGTCAGAGCCTCGCTGACCTTAATAACCACCCAGCCCAGCACTTTCCACAAATGTTCTGAAATTCATCTATGACAATAACACTAAAGGGATACATTGTAGTTCACAAGGGCTCACTCCCTCCTAACGCCTCCCTGCGGAATCGCATTCTCTAACAGTTCTTGGCCTTTTGGCAGGAAACCCAGCCCCACATGCCCCGCCCTACCAAGTCCTTGCTCCTACCCTCCTTGTGGCGCAGGCGCAATGTGGAACCGGCCTTTCGTACCAGCGCTGACAAATCCGCTGCGGCTCTGGCCGCCAGGGGGCGCGCGTCCAACCTCTCCAGGAGCTGCCGAGCTCGGGGTCCCCCAGACCCAGGTAGGCCATCTCCTGCTCGGGAGAAGACAAGTCATCATGGACCCAGAGTCGTGGCGCCCCAACCTGGGTAATTCTTACTTTCAAACACCTAGAAATGTCCCTCCAGATACATGGAGATCCCAGACCAATCAATATAGTTCCAAAGGTCGCCGACAGTCCCCTCCTCTCCTGGGACCCCCGGCTGCTGCCGTTGTATGCAATGCCGGCTGCCTTGCCCCATAAATTCCCCAGAGGCAGCCATTTGACAACAATAGACCTGGACACCTCTGAGCGCCCAACAGATTTTTTTTAGCTCACCACACTATCCCTAGTAACACTAGATGCCAAACTTCTTTCTCCGTGTCTTTGGGGACCCTGCTTCTCCCACACAAACCCCTCCCCGTGAGCAACCCTGAAGCCCTCAATTCCACCTACAGTATACTGGTAATTCCTCCTACACCCAAGAGTTCCCTTAAAGGCCCAGTGTCCCCTCGGGGTGCAAGCTTCTCCAGATACCCCCTCCACATATCCCCAGCCCGCCCTCCTAATTCTCTACAGGTTGCCTGCCCTGGCTCAGCAGATGCCTCCAGCTTCTTCCTCAAGAGCTAGGTCTCCGGAGTCTGATGTGTCCCTCCACCTACCCCCCCCTCACTCTAGAGTCTGTAGGGTAGGGGACCTGAAACAGTTTCCATCGCTGGGCCCCTGGTTGCTGCCAGGACAGCCTGGGCACCAAGGCTGATGTTTACCACTTGTGGGGTGAAATGGTTAAGGGCCCCAGGCAAGAAGAGAGTGACCTAGGACGATCCTTCCTTTTCTCTCTTCTCCACCCAAGCCAGTACCTCCTCTGCTCCCTCTAGGGTCTGCGGTGTTCCCAGCTCCGGAGTCCATGGCCTGTGGTGCACCTGGTGGACTCAGGGCAGCCGGGTGACTAGTTTTTAGCACAGGGGCGCGCTCAGCTGGCTCCTAGCCCAGGCCTGGACGCGGCTGTTGTCTGGCCAGTCCCAGGCCTGGCGCCGGGACCCGCGAGGTGACCTACCTGGCCGCAGGCAAGGAGGCCTGCTTGTGGGAGCCTGTCAAGTCAGAAATTTGCCTTGCTCTGCCCCAGGCGCTTCTGCTTTTCTTACCTGGGGACTGGTTAAAACGGAAAAGCCTGAGTCTAACAACTGTTAAACAAGATATGCAGGAAATGGAATGTAGACTACAGCAAAACAGCATGTGAGTATCTTTTAAATTAAACAATCAGAAAGAAAACTAAACACACGCATGTGATCCACCTATTCCACTCCTGAGTACTTCTCTAAAAGGGTATACACTTTCCAAAGAGACTTGAGTGTGAGTGTTTATGAAGCCTTCATTTCTTGTCACCTTCTCCTTGGGCAGTCATAGCAAAATAGTAGAGTGGGTGACCGAAATGACACAAATTTATTTCCTCTTGTTCTGGAATAAAATATCAAGGAGCTGGCCAATTTGGTCCTGGATGTTTGTTTGCTTTTGTTTGTTTGATTGTTTTTTTTTCTTGGTTTAAAGGTAACTGCTTGCCCGGCAGTGGTGGAGCAAGTCTTTAATTCCAGCACTCAGAAGGCAGAGTCACGTGGATCTCTGTGAGTTGTCTGGTCTACAAAGTGAATTCCAGGACAGACAGAGATATTACACAGAGAAACCCTGTCTCAAAAAATAAATAAAATAAAATAGACAAAAAATGAAAATAACTACTTTCTTGCTATCCTCCTCACACTGAGTTGAGAGAATAGAAGAGATATGTGCGTGTGTTTGCGTGTTAGAGAGCGAGAGCACCCCCCCTTATCAAGGTAATAGTCTATCTGATTAAAGCCCTTCCCCTCATAAGCATTTAAGCTTATATACCTCGTAAGACCCTATCTGCAGATAGAGTCCCTTGAGAGTTAGAGCCTTAACAAGTGGGGAAGAGACATGGAATTCAGTTTACAGCATTTGTTGATAGCCTCAAATTGGAAACAGCCCAAAAGTCCATCAGTAGGTAAATGCACAAGCTGGTGTATTCATGCAGTGGGTTGGCTATAGTAATGCAGCCCATAAGCAGCTGAGGCAGGAGGACTTGGGGTTGGAGACCAGCCTGGGTAGCTCAATAAGACTCTGTTGCCCTCAAGAAACTTTTTTTGAGACAGGTTTCTCTATGTATCCCTGGCTGTCCTGGCACTCCCTCTGTAGACCAGGCTGGCCTCGAACTCACAGGGATCTGCCTGCCTCTGCCTCCCTAGTGCTGGGATTAAAGGTCTGCACCACCACTGCCCGATCCCCTCAAAAAACTTTAAAGCAGCTGGGTGGTGGTGGCGGCGCATGCTTTTGTCCCAGCACTCAGAAGGCAGAAGCAGGGGATCTCTGTGAGTCTGAGGCCAGCCTGGTCTAGTAGAGCTGGTTCCAGGACAGCCAGAGCTACACAAAGAAACCCTGTCTCAGAAAAACAACAACAAAATGTAATCGGGTTGTAATGGAACAAGCCCTTAATTCCAGCACTAGAGGGATGGAGGCAGGCAGATATCTGTGAGCTCCAGGCCAGCCTGGTCTACAAATCCAGTTCCAGGACAGTCAAGACTGTTACACAGAGAAACCCCATCTCAATCCCCCCCCAAAAAAACCCACTTGGTGGGATAGCTCTGTTCAGTATCATGATTACAATCATGGTTATTAGCATACTGTGTTCAAAACCTATCAAGCCTATAAAGCCAGAAATGGTGGTAGGTGGCGGTGATTGCCTATAATCTACAGCATTTGGGAGGCTGACCAGGAGAATCATGAGTTCAAGAGATAATGTGTCTCAGAAAAGCCGGGCGGTGGTGGCTCCCCAGCACTCGGGAGGCAGAGGCAGGCAGATCTCTGTGAGTTCGAGACCAGCCTGGTCTACCGAGCGAGTTCCAGGACATGGTCCAAAAAACAATACAGAGAAATCCTGTCTCGAAAAACCAAAAAAAAAAATGTGTCTCAGAAAAATAGTGTTTGGGCCAGGTGGTGATGCCCCACATCTTTAATCCCAGCACTCGGGAGGCAGAGACCGGTGGATCTCTGTGAGTTTGAGGCCAGCCTGGTCAGCAAATCGAGTTCCAGGACAGCCAGGACTGTTACACAGAGAAACCCTGTCTTGAAAACCAAAATAGAAAAAAACATATAGTGTTTGGGACAGGAGGGATAGCTCAGTAGTTAAGAGTACTTGTTGTTCTTCCAAAGGACCAGGTTCAATCCCCAGCACCCACTTGGCAGCTCACAACCGCCTAACTCTAGTTGCAGGGGATCTCACGTCTTCAGCACCAGGCAGGCACGTGGTGCACACACATACATGCAGGCAAAACACCCACACACTTAACAGCATTTCACTTTGAAATGAAAAAATAAATTAATATAATAAAAAATAAAAATAAATGGAGTCAGTCATGTTGGTACATGCCTTTACTATCAAGAGGTAGAAGCAGGAGAATCTCTGTGAGTTTGAGGACAGTCTGGTCTACATACCAAGTTGCAAGATAGCCAGGGTTACATAGAGAGACCCTGTCTTAAAAAAACAAAATAAATGGTGACAAGATGGTTCAATGTGGAAAGGCATTTGCTGTCACCAAGCATGATGACCTGATTTCCGTCCCCAGGACCCACAGGGTAGAAGAGAATGATCTCCTGCAGGTTGTCCTCTGACCTTCACGTGTGTGCCCTGGCATGTTCATGCCTCCCCTTCAAACACTTTGAAGTTTGCATCTTGCAAACTCAAAATGGCTCAAAAGACTAGTCTGGGAGCCAGGTAAATGTATGCGATGCAGGCGATTTAAAAGCTCTATTTCTAATATTCTTGGCAGGCTTACCATACACATGTCACAATTCTCCCTTTCCAAAGCTGAAGCTTAGATGATGCGGTGGCTGGGGTTCCACTCTGTACCCCATTGAACCTTGTAGCCTGAACTTTTCCTATTCACCCCACTAATAACAAACCTAGCTTGGTGAAATAATGAGCTTAATCGGGATTGCTTTCAAGTTTAATTTAATGTAATGTGCAAGGGTGTTTTGCTTGCATGTATGTCTGTGTGCTATGTACATGCCTAATGCTTACCAAGGCCAGAAAATGGGGATGGATCCTCAGGAATTGGAGTTGCAGATGATTGTGAGCCACCATATGGGTGACAGGAATTGAACCTGGTGCTCTAAAAAAGCATCAAGTGCTCTTAACCACAGAATTGTCTCAGGTTCCGAACCAGAATTCCTTATAGGAGCATGGGGGGCAGTTTAGCGGTTAAGATCACTTGCTGCTCCTTCAGAGAACCTGAATTCAGTTCCCAGCATCCATGTCAGGCGGCTCACAACATCTGTAACTCCAACTCCAGGGATCTGGTGCCTCTGATGTCTTCAGGCACTTGCACTCTTGTGCGTGTACCTATACAGAGACACATACATACACGTGCAAGTAATTAAAAGTAAAATAAAAGCTAGGTGGTGGTGGCTCATGCCTTTAATCCCAGAACTCGGAAGGCAGAGGCAGGTGGATCTCTGTAAGTTTGAGTCCAGCCTGGGCTACAAAGTGAGGTCCAGGACATACTCCAAAGCTACAGAGAAATCTTGTCTCGAAAAAATGAAAATAAAATAAAATCTGAAAGAATTGGGTGAGCCAGGCATTGGTGGCGCAACCTTTAATCCCAGCACTCGGGAGGCAAAGGCAGGTGAATCTCTGAGGCCAGCCTGGTCTACAGAGCGAGTTCCAGGACAGGCTCCAAAGCTCCAAAGCTACTCTGGGAAACCCTGTCTCAAAAAACAACAAAAGAGAGAGAATTGGGGGCTAGAGAGATGGCTCAGAGGTTAAGAGCACCAACTGCTCTTCCAAGAGGTCCTGAGTTCAATTCCCAGCAACCACATGGTGGCTCACAACCATCCATAACGAGACCTGGTGCCCTCTTCTGATGTGTACACGTACATGGAGGCAGGATGTTGTATTCATAATAAATAAATACATTTTTAAAAGCGAGAATTGGATGTTTTAGGGGATTTTTGTTGTGTGTGTGTGTGTTGGGTTTTTTGTTTTTGTTTGTTTTTTGAGACAAGGTTTCTCTGTGTAACAACTCTGGCTGTCCTAGAACTCACTCTGTCACTCTGTAGACCAGGCTGGCCTCGAACTCATGGAGATTTGCCTGCCTCTGCCTCCCAAGTGCTGGGATTAAAGCCATGTGCATCACCACCGCCTGGTGAATTGGGTGTTTTTTAAGGGATCAACAAGATGGCTGTTGGAATAAAGGCAATTGCTCCCAAGGCACAGGACCTAAGTTGTATTCCAGTGACTTCCGTGATTTAAGGAGAAAACTGATTCCTTACAGTTGTCGTCTGACCTCCGTACACATACAAAAATGAATAAAATATAGTAAAAAATTAATCCCTCTCCACCAACAATTCTAGAATTTTAAAATCATGCGGGATGTGTGTATATGCATGACACAGCAAGCGTGAGGTCAGAGGAAAACCATGAGAAGTGGCTTTCTCCCACCGAACTCAGGTTGTCACGTTGGCCACCAAAAGTCATTATCTGCTAAGCTAACTCATTAGTCCAGGCATTGCTAATCTTTGGGAGATCATGGCCTCACAAGCCCCTCTTCCTAGCAACTGTTAACCATAAATCCTAAAGAAGGGGGCGTGGCCCCGTGAACCCTCTCCAGCAATAATTCTTTTTGGGGGGGAAGGGGGATTCGAGACAGGGTTTCTCTGTGGCTTTGGAGGCTGTCCTGGAACTCGCTCTGTAGACCAGGCTGGTCTCGAACGGACATAGATCTGCCTGCCTCTGCCTCCCGAGTGCTAGGATTAAAGGTATGCGCCAGCACCGCCCAGCCCAGCAGTAATTGCTAAGGTCAACTGTTTCATAGTTCTTGAGCATAATTCGGCCACTGAAATGGCTTAGACGGTAAAGGTACTTTCTAATAAACCCAAGGTTTGACTTCTGGTATCCACATAGTGGAAAGAGAAAACCAGCTTCCTAAGTAAGGTATCTTCTAGAGCCCACACACATGCACATACAATACATGCAGTGAGTTTTTGTTTGTTTGCTTGCTTGTTTTTGAGACAGGGTTTCTCAGCATAAAAGCCCTGGATGTCCCAGAACTCAGTCGGTAGAACAGGCTGGCCTCAAATTCAGAGATCCAGTAAAGGCAGGTACCACCGCTGTCCAGCTTTGAAATAAGTTTTTAAAGAGGGCAACAGGCTTGCCATGCCCAAGGACAGGGTTCCACAGTGAGCCTCCTCCCTTGCTGGCAGCCACAAGTGGTACGTGGTACAAGCTTTACTCCTCAGCTATGCCCTCCCCTTGTCTCCTGAATCTCAGCTGTATTGGCATCATCTTTCCCAGGGAATCCTCATCTAGCATCCTGGGCTCCTCTGAGGATGACCTAAGAGCTGCCCGTTCCTTCCCAAGTAGCCATGCCTGAACACCTCCCAGTCTGGAAGTAGTTCTCCATCCCCGAACCCTTG